ACATAACATCGCTGTGACATATCGCCACGACACACCCAGTGCCGTATCGTAGGTATCTGAGATACGTTTAGTGTCCTCGACGGGTAATTACGACCAACTAACGCATTGGTAAGGAATCGTCAGACACGCATACACACTCAGTCCTCACCTCATGACACTACCGCTTGGTCGCCTGGACATTCGGACAACTGGATTACTTGGATAATAGACATACGGATAGTCTTCCTCAATTATTTGGTTTCGGTCGGACAACTAGGACAACTCGGAGGACGGTCAAAGTCTAAGGATAACACTTAGCAATGTCATAATATAATCTAATTGAGTTTATCATAAAGAGGGTAATAGCAATAGTAATCAATTCGTAAATTGCTTTGTTTCTTGACAGACTGACTCGTCAAGCTGAGGCCTCTTATCTACCGGTGAGTTTCATATTAGCACAATTAACTGTTGACGAAATGTTGCTACTTCTTTATTCATTGATATGAAAGGTCTATATCAATGACAAATTCTACATCGTACTCCTTGTAATGTTTATTTAACCTTTTCATCTATTCTGCTGGAAATATTTTATTTTGTTTTCGTTTTTGGTTTCGACGTCGAGAAGACGTGAATTAATACCGTTTATTTCTTCTTGTTCCTCTCGTAGTATACAAAACTTGCCGAGTGTTGACGTCCACTCGAATATAGTCCTTAACTAACACCTACTCTTACCTGTCGCTTCGAGAGGATACAGTCACGTACCGTAAATATCCATCACCCCTCTACTCTCACACATGCCAAGTCCGCTAAATGAGCACTTCCCGAAGTCCCCTTCCACGACCTCAGGTCGTCGAAGATCGACCTTCGCGTCAGGGGTAGGAGCCCCTGGAGCCCGACCGTCATGATCACGCGCATTCACAAACCCGCAACTGACCGGTCATTCGAGTTTCGCCTTCTTCTTGCTTCCTGCAGTCACGCCAGTAAACGCATTAGAAGGTGCTGAGTCCTGAATAAGCCACACTGCCGCTAGACATGAGATCAAGTACTCTTATCATTCTCAAGAGTCACTATTCAGAGTTACTTCGGAAACACCCTTCCTTCATTCGTAATGATGACTCAAGCACAAGCAGTAACACGTGAGTCGGATCCACATCCACAAGTCAATCCAGTGTGGGACCCAAGCCAGCCGAAGATGGCCAGTTTAAAAATGCCCTACAGCAGCGGACCATTGCTTCAATCAAAGTCACCCAGGAACTCCTCATTAACTAACCATTAACGAATTATTCATTAATACAGTACCCCCCAGTCTGTTTACTAGTAAGAATCCATCAGTTATTCAATCAAAGTAACTAATTAACTAACCATTATTCTATAACACATAGGTTTGAGCAAGCTCTCTGATTGGTCAATAGGCGTGTTTGATTCCACGATCAAACAAAGATCAAATAGAACGTGCCTAATCACAAAGTATCCAGTGGCTTACACACGCCACTAGCCTACCGAAACTACTTCCATGAGCCTACATCGTGTGGTTTCCATAGCGACGTTTAGCGACACACAGCCGTTACACTGTTCTACATTGTCTCTCGTTGGAAATCGGTAGCTACAAAATGTCAGATTTTAAAGTTAATTTAGATTTGTTGGGGGGCCTCAGTATTGATGAATGGTTGGACATGGACACAGACCACAAAACCAACGAAAGATTTGCGGCTGTTTCAACTGACGAGTTGAGTGCGTTGGAAAAAAGTCGCAACGAAAAGAGTACATTGGCGTCAACTACCTGGGCTGTCAAATGTCTCAAAGCGTTCTTAAAAACCCAGGAGAAAATGGTGGATTTCGGAACAGTGTCCAAACCGTTACCATGGGAACTACTTTCTAGGAACTACTTTCTGACGGAGATTAACTCAAGCAAAAGCGTAGGTTTGGGAGCAAATTAGCCCACGTTATGAAATTATTTTACGATATTGTTGATTACAATGATAGTTTGTGTAATAGAATCACAATCATACACTTGAGGCCGTTCTTGAACGTCATTATTGGTACGACAGTACTGCGGCAGGACCGAGGCGCTTGCGCCTGAACGAGGTCAAGTTCTTTAGTAACTGGCTCATGAGGTCCTCTCGTGTATGATTGCTTAAATGAATCATTCATTAATACAGTACCCCCACCCATTCTGTTTACCAGTAACTAACCATCAGTTCTTCAATCGCAGTCACTCAGGAACTCCTCATTAACTAACCATTAACTATCTAGTCGTTCCTTATTCACTACTCAGTAACTAAGCACATTTTGTGTACTTTATAGTTAAGTGTTACCGACATTCCCTCCCACGGCGCCGGGTCTGCACTAGAGTGAGATAAAAACAGATTTGTATGCAACATTATCATGGAATGCTAATGAACTGAACTAAAATGGACCATAGGATAATTAAATAACTTAATAGTATTTTAATATTTTTCCAGTATTTAGCTTGACTCTTACTAGTTGGCACCCAGACAGCTCCTCGAGCAGAGCCATGAGTATTCTTCCATCTTGAATGTCTGTGAACAGGTCGTACACTTCAATCGGAGGTTCACGCTGGAAATGACAAATGAAAAACCTTATTGGTGATTGCATTTATGAGCTGAAGTATAATGGTTCAGTAAAGCTGTATTGATTTCTGACTTACTCTCTGCAGAAACCCATTCATCCACCTGGTGAAGGTTCTCTTCTGCACTGCTTTTTTCTCATCTGGGAAAGAGAAAACAGGGACTAAGATGCAGTAATTTACCAATCAAACACTGTTAGAATATGTTAATGCCCGCTTTAACTCTGTAGCACATTTGTGGTTTGTGCTGAAGAACGTGTGCATCCCGGCTTAATGGATGACAGGCTTGTGCTTCTGGATGGCAAAGAAAGTTTGAAAGAAAAATATTTATTGTAAGAGAATGCTCACAACAAAGTCTGTGGATTATCTTTAGTAACTGGCTCATGATTTCTGGAAAGAGACCTTGCTGAGTTTTTCCAATTGTACTTTTGGGAGATTAGAGCACCATGAGCCCAGTGCCATTTCATTCCACTCGATAGGAGAGAAGGCAGACAGCCCTAGAGCTCATATATCCAACTCTCACAACACAAATCTAAATTGATATACTTCAGGTCAGAAGAAAATAAAGTATTTTTGGGGCTACCTAAGTGTTTTCTGATATAAGACAACATTTAACGACAAATTAAGACCTATTTTACTTTTGTTTCTCATGTTTTACATGCTACACAAGCAAATCATGTAAAAAAAAAAAAAGTGTGTAGTATTAGGCAATCAGTTGCCACAATGCCNCTAGTAAACAGACTGGGGGGGTACTGTATTAATGAATGATTCATTAATGGTTAGTTAATGAGTTACTTTGATTGAAGAACTGATGGTTATTTATTGGTTAACAGTAACCAATAAATAACCATCAGTTCTTCAATCAAAGTAACTCATTAACTAACCATTAATGAATCATTCATTAATACAGTACCCCCCCAGTCTGTTTACTAGTAATTAACCATCAGTTCTTCAATGGCAGTCACTGAGGAACTCCTCATTAACTAACCATTAACTATCTAGTCGTTCCTTATTCACTACTCAGTAACTAAGCACATTTTGTGTACCTTATTGTTAAGTGTTACTGACATTCCTTCCCTCCCCCAATAAACACAGTTTTTATTATTTATAAAAATGTAAAAAAAATTTTTATTATAAATGAACTGTGAACTTTAATGCTACGATGTATGTGATGTCAGATAGTACAGGTATGAAATACATATGGCAGTAAAACAAGAATACAGTTTGAAAGGGGAGTGATTTGTAAAATATCGAATAAAGAAAAATAAATCTGCTTACAGTTCTGTTTCATATTGATGTTGAGAGATCTATCCATAGATCTCCTAATGTTGCTCTCTAAGTGCACCAGATTGATGCTTTTAACTTAATTTAAAAAAAAATCTTCCCGGGGGAGCATGCCCCCCGGACCACTGGAGGAGGTGAGGACCCCCCTAGAGGAGGTTAGGTCCCCCCCACTTAAATCAGTCCACATGGATAGGAAGCTAAATACTTTTGCACACATCTTGTGTCCAATACTTTCTGTTTTGGTGGTCATGCCACAACCGTGCACGTGAATTCATGCACGAGTCATGGTAAGATATCTGGATTAAGAGGTTGCTTTTTCTTTGCACGGCATGAAAGAAAGGCAAAATGAATGGGCTGTGATTTTAGTATTTTTAAGCAGAGGTCAATAATTTGTACGGCCCTCGGAGGATGTTGAAAAAATTGAAATGGCCCTTGAGAGGAAAAAGGTTCCCCACCCCTGTCCTAAAAGGTCAAACTATTCTCCTTAATGTTCCTTTCCTAATGTTTTTATTAGCTTTACAGGTTTAGGTCTTCTTCCCACCGCATTTTCAGACTGAACAACATTTCCAAGGCCTTGGCTTTCCTGGATGATAGACATGTTAGTGTTTTTCGTTTGTAAATCAATCAATTGATAGTGCTTTCATGTGTGGCCTATTACAATAACATTAATCCTGATAAACAAGATTTCAGTTGACGTCTCCTCCATGTTGTCTCTCAGGTGAAGCTGCTTGGCATCGATGCCTCTGGCATTGCTGATGGGATTCCCTCTGTTGTTCTTAACCTTGTCTGGAACATGATCCTGTATTTCCAGGCAGGTGTCGTCCCCCGTTGTCTATCATGCTAATGTCTTAATGTATAATTTTACTCCTTGTGTGCAATTTGTCTTTGTTGCTGACCCTACATCAACTCCTCCCTTTCCCTCTAATGCAGGTAAAAGAAGTGACAGCAGGCCTCCAGAGACATTTATCTTCTAGCCTCTCCTCCTTATCAATGAGCAGTTACCCCTCCTCCAGCGACCTCTCGCCCCCGCCAAATGACATTGGCAGCTATTTCTGCAGCACCCTGCCAAGCAAATGCAAAAAGGCTGCCAAAGAGCTAAAGTACCATGGGAAAGCAATCAAGACTCTACTGCGATGGGTCCAAAGATGCACATCAAAGTGAGTCTCAAAAAGATCCAACTGCTTACAAAGTCATTTTTGGAGTAAAAAGGCTCCCAAACCCAAGCATGTGTGAACTGGCTGTGTGATTTTTCTATTAAATGCAATTTTAAATGTGTAGGTTTGGAGTGGAGGTTCGTGACTTTGGGAGGAGCTGGAGGAGTGGGCTGGCTTTCCTCGCTATGATTAAGTCCATAAACACAGCCTTGGTTGACCTAAGGGCGAGCCTGTCCAGAGAGCCAAGAGAAAACATTAAGCTGGCCTTCATGATAGCCCATCACAATTTGGACATACCACCTCTGCTGGAGCCTGAAGGTAAAAGCTTACTGAATAGAAAGTGCATCACATTCATTTATTTATATCCACTAAGACAAATATCTTTCTTCATAGACAGTACTACACTAAGTATGTGCTTAGAGCCCATCATGGTGTAATGATCTCCCCTTTCAAAGGGCTTTAGGAATAAATCAGAAGCACTTGTCCCATTGCAGACTCATTTAGAAGACCTCACTTAAAGCAGCAGAGGTCCTTGCTGTGTGTAGTGCCAATTTTATAATATTCGCAGTATCACACAGAGCCCAAAAGTGGCCCCAGCAGGATGGTCTCCTTAGCAGGTTTGGAATGTTCAGTACATTTAGTTAGCAATTTGTTATTCAGAACATTATATGAAGATATAGTGAAATGTGTAAGGATATAGTGGAAGTATGTTTACCTGAGAACCTTTACATTTTAATTTGAGCTACTCTTTTTTTAATCCACTTTTCTACTTTCGATTTCACAAAATTTTATTTGATTTTATTTTCTCATACAAAATAGTTAAAATATGCTCCAGCTGAACAAACTTCAACAGTGAAATCGTGCTTTTACATTGCTGCATAAGTAATAATAATTATAAGATATACAATATTATTACAGTGACTTTAATGCATTAAGTACTTCTATTTTTTATTCTTTTGAAGAGTATACTTTTTCAAAAGTATACTATATGTTTTTGCTAAGTGATATTCTTAATGCAGGACTTTAATTGTGGTTGAGTATATTCAGTGTGGTGAAATAACCCGCTAACAAACGGAAACTATTCTATCTGCAGATGTGTCAGGCACTTCACCAGATGAGCAGTCCATCATCACCTATGTGTCGATGTTCCTGAGGTTTTGTCCAGACAAAGACGAGGTTAGTACGGCAGTGAATAGTTCAAAAATGTTTCCTTTATATTATTTTCTGAAAGTAAAATGAGAACATTTATATTACTATCATTTAAGTATTTTATATATATATAGTTACCACCAGTAGCTGGTTGGTTTAGTTTACTTTAGCTTAGCTTAGCTTGCATTAATACAAGGGAAACATCTTGCCTTGCTCGCTCCAAGCCTAGCCTCTCTAATTAAATGATTACAATGGTGACATTAATTATCATAAAACTCTCATAAAAGAGAGAAATGGCTAATTTCATTATTAATTTCAATGTCAAACTCTTCCATTGACCCTCAAAGCAAACTCATTCACAAACACCATGAACCAAGACTTTTTTCTGAGTTAATAGTCATATAGTGTACCATCACTAATAAACCCTATATTACAGGATGATACAACAGATATGGAAGTTCCTGATATCCCACATTTTGGATCACTTGAGTCTGTCAGTCTTGGAGAAACCCTCGCTGATGACCCAGAAGCCCAAGCATTGCTCCAGGGCATGAAGAAGAGCAGTGAACAGCTACTGTGGAAACGGTGGGCAAGGAGATCCCAAGGGAGCCCCTGTGCCACCTCACTTCACACAACTGAAACCACGTCACCATTCAACCAATCGAAAAGCAGTAGTCGAAGCATTTTACAGCCTCCCAGTCCACTGGATGCAGGTGTTGCCAACCAGGATATCCGATCATGGATGGAGAAAGCGCCTGCGGATCAGGAGTACAGCAAGCCAAGGGTGGACGAAAGTCACTTTTCTTTGAGCTCAGAGGAAGGAATCTACAGCTTGTCGGCACTGGACTCAGACGAGGAGGATGCCTACAGCTACATACTTGATCTGAATAAAGAGGTTTTTCAACCATATAATCAGATAAAAAAACAAGTTCCGAGGGTTGAAGAGGAAACGGAGGAAGAAATGTTTCTGAATGGAGAGCATGCTGAATCAAAACATCTGGAAGAATGTGAGATTTTAAACGGCAGTGGATGTACACATCAAGAAGATTCCCTAGTGCAACATGTTGCATCAGAAGTCAGGGATCAGTTAGTGGTTCATAGGATGTTTGATGGGGCCAAAAATGAAAGGAGTTCCACAGAGGTGGCAGACAGCATAGCTGCATTTGACATAGAACCAAAGGAAGACAGCAGGGAGGAACAGGAAGATGAGGGAGTTGTTAGAGGACAGATTAATGACGCTGGAGATGACTCCGAGGAAGAGAGGGAGAACACAGAAAATGCTAGATTTGTAATGCATGGACATCATAAAAGGGATGCTCTCATAGATGAATCCAAGAACACAAGGGTTTTCGAAGCCGCTAGTTGGAATACAGAGGTTGAGGAAGACACTGAAAAAGGGCTTTTTGAAAAATGTCGACAAGTGAGCAAAAAGGTGCTTGAAAATGAAGAGGAAGAACATGGGGCGACATTTGAGGAACGGCAGCAGGGGGAAGAAAGAATTGAAGAGGATAATGTAAAGGAGGAAGAGAGGGAAAAGTGGGGAGGTAGTGCCAAGGTAGGAGAAAATGGAAAAATAATAACTGACAAGGCTGTAAATGAAGTCAGCAGAGCTGATGCAACTACAACAAACTCAAAAGAAGAACATTATGGGAAATACAATGCCCAAAAAATAGATGATTTATCTTCTAAAGAAGAAAACAAGGAACAGTACAATGGTGAAGTCATGAATCCAATGGATTTTGAGGAAGTCAAAACTGCAGAGCTTAACGACAGAGACATTAAGACTGAGAAATGTAAAATTGCTGTCAATAAGGCAACAACAGGAGGTCATCCTGACAAAACTGCCCCCAAAAATAACACCAACGGAGGTGTTAACGTCCATCCTGCCTTCAGTGCAACTTCTTGGTCATTCGGGTAGGTTATGTCAATTAGGATTTGAAAATACAAGCAGGGTTGACCATTAGCCAAGCACTTAAGAGAAGTAACTATTTTTCAGGCTTCCTGATTATATTAGTTGTAGTAATCTAAAATGTTTAAAACAATGGGTCTTCAATTTAACACAGAAACATAGAGAAGCAGAAGTATTCTCATTCCTAGATAAACAACATATTTAGTTGGCTGCAATAACAACTGATGCTAGTAATGCTACGCTAAAACTGAGAACTACCTGTGAGGTGGATGAAACATTCCGCTTCATGTTAACATTTTCATTCTTCTGTCAGACTACTGTTTTAGATAACAAGACCCCATTAGAAGGGATCTCAAATATGGTCTCAAAAGCTTCATATACCATGTAATGCTAAGATACAGTATAACTACATTTTCTGATTTAACAAGATCATTATCTCAGAATCAGGAGGAAAGTTGTCATTGTATTTTTTTCTGAGGTTATTATCTTGTTAATGAGGGAAAACTCTGTGTTTTATCTTCTGTCCAACAGAGAAAGAGGATTCCTTTTTCAATCTCCAGCAGCCTTTTGTGACATAACCCCATTAGAGCTGGAAATGCTCTTGCTCCTGTGGATCCTGCTGTACTGCTACTTCATCTTACCTCAAATGAACTTCTGAGTCAACCTGCAGTGAGCCCTCCCTGTTACCAGATGTCTAAATATACTACCACCTTAAAATCAATTGAGGTTCACCTTTGGACATTTTAGAAATCTGACTTTCAACCCAATTTTTATCCAATTGACGTCTTTGGCAGCTTTAATCCCCAACTGTCTATCACATTTTTAAGATTATTTGTGGTTTCTGAGTGCACATTGTACAGTAGTTACTGTTCTTTGCGTTGTGTATCTATCACCTTTTATTTAAGTTTCTCTATGCTTTATTTTGTATAGTAGATGTTTTGTATAGTAATGCATTTACTAATATATTTTTTCAGAGGTGTATCTCTTTTAGCTTACTCAAAAGGATTTATGGTTTATTGAGCAGACATAAATGTCATCTCAAGAGTTGAACTGTGAAATCACACTTATGTCCTTGAGGTAGCATTTTAAACTAATAACAGGAAAGAAATGTAAACTACCAAATACGCATGTTTGAAGCTTGATCTATAATTGTGAAGTTCAAAGATTTTCTTTATAATTCGATGTGTTTAAGTTAAGTTGCTAGGCTGCACAAATTGGACTGTTGTTTCTTCACCACTGTTAACAAAGGGAATGCTTGCCACAAACATTGCACTAGCAAGCAGCTTAAAGTCACACCTGTCATTGGTCCTTAGATGCCTGATGAAATATAATTCAATCATCACATATCAACTGTTTCAACTGTATCTTATCACGAATGATTAAAGGCCTGTGGAAGTGTGCTGTGGTTTGCATGAGAAAACAAACCCTATCTGTCTTCACTGACTATTGTAACAACTAAATACATTATACCATCTTTAGAAGTCTCAATCAGATTATTGTCAGATTGTTTTTGAATTTGTGGTTTAGTTGTGCATTTGTGCAGGCAAGTAACATTTCCTTTAATGTTGCAACAAATGGCTAAACAGAGACGTATGTCAATTCATGCCTGGTAATAACATATAAAATGATCGGGCACATTCAACAAATATCAATAAAAGACTTGACAATGTGACGCATTATTACACAAGCATGTTTTACAAAAAACAAATGGAAACAAATACAATAGAAAAAACATATATAACGTCCTAAAGACAGGTTTGGGAAGTAATGGATAACATGTAACGGGATTACCTAATCCGGATACGAAAACAAATGTAGCTGTTCCCTTACATTTACGTTACATTTATAACAGTTGGGGATTACTAGCTGGATTGCAACGTTACTAAAAAAAAAAAAAAAGAGCGTATTGTGTTTGTTGTAAAAGGAGAATATTGTATTGCTTCTTTGTAAGCTGTAGCTTTAGACACTGCACCCTAACTCTAAGTTACGCGCTCCACCTCTCTGTTCAGGTGCTCCAGATCTTCACAAATGAAATGATCCATATAAGAAGGAAGGCAGATTTCTCTCTGTCTCTCTCAACTGCCAGACATCCTTAGTTTAGGATTTCACTCTTTTGTCACTTTCTCTTTCCTTTCTATTTTAGTTTGGAGGATCTGGTTGTCCAGTATCTTAGTTAGTTAAAGAAGCCCTATTACGCTTTTATGGGTTTTCCCAAAAATGTCCATTTCTTTAAGTGTGCTCTCCAGGGAGGCGTCAGCAGAGATGGAGAACTTTGGCAGCGACAGACGCACAGACCTGATCAAATACAGAACAGCAGCAGTGTCACAATTACTTGATTAAACAGTTCACTTATAGCTTGTTTACTCAACCTGAGCCATACCAGATAAGGTAACTAAAATGAAATACTCCTGTTCAGCGTTAAAGCCAAACACACGTCATTACATTCCCTATGATCCTGCAAAATAACTCACTGTTACTGTATCTAAAACCTACTACGACTGTAAAGGAAAATACATTTAAAATAAAATAAAATGACCTCCTGATGACTGAGTCATGCCAGTGCTTTACAAGTCCTCCAGCTCCTTCATCTTGCCTTCTTCAGGCAGGACGATCATCATGGAGGTGTTGCCCTTGTAGGGCAGCTTAATGACGGTGGTTGGATTTTCGGCGTTGTGATAGAACATGTAGCGACCTTTCCTCTTCATCATGTCCACCTGAACCTTTGTGTTTTCGTCCACATCGAAGACTGCCTTCTGTGTATGGTTAGCATCGAAGGGTTTCACCCACTGTCCTGTATGAGGGGTGTAAAAGTAATGCATTGTGGTTTCACAAAATGTTGAAAATATGATTGTCTCGCTTTTTTTTTAATATCTTTCTGATTTATTTTACATATTCATGGCATGTTGGAGCTCCTTAAACTACACAAGAGTTCCTTGTGTTTAAGGGGCATGTGTCCTAACTCTGAAGTAGACATTGATAATCATCATGATCGTCCTGGGGTCCAGGTCCTTCACCACATCTGTGATCATGTTGTTGGTTCTATTAGCAATTCATTTGGTTTGGTAAAGTTAACGGTGAAGATCCGACCAAAATAGTCATCCTTGACATCATTCTGGAACTTCTCCAGAGGAGTGTAGCCAGTTTGAAAGGCAACTCCGCAACCCAAATCCACCTGATGATGCTCTTCACTGTGTCCCATCATATGGAAAAGATGCTCGTAGGCCTCGTTGACCTGTTCCTGGGTGTGAGCACTGTAGCCTAAGCTGGAGAACAGCTGGCTGTGGGTTTCCCCAGCAGCCCCTGTGGACGGCATGGACAGGGCGGTGGAGATGCCCAGGGGCGAGAAGAAGATGTTCTTTCCAGCAGCAGCGTTGGCATTCAGGCTTTTGAAAGGGCAAAGGCAAAGTCAGCATTGGAACAGGACAGCTTGAGCCACCTAACATATTTTTCATGGGTGTGAGAGCCATCAGCACCGTAGTGGTGGCGTTCTGTCCAGGCTGCAGCCAGCAGCAGTGCTGAGAGTTCACAACCAGCAAAGGTCCCACGCATGTTTACAGACTGTCCAGGGAAAATCAGAGGAGGTTAGTTGGGGTGTTACAATTTAGCATTTAAACAGCTCTACACTTCCAAATGTTTACATTTCATACCAATTCACCAAGTTTCAACATTCCTACTTTATTTTTTTCGAATGGATGTAAGTCCAATACATCTAAAGTTTCTAAAGTTATAAAAAGATTTGTTTTATATATCAAAAAACCCTGCCATGCTTACCTTGAATGTCCTCTTTGCCCCAGACAGTTTGTCAGAAATGACCCAATGTTATATAGCAGCTCTGGTAGTCAGTTGACAGTTGGGCCAAACATTAACCAGCAGCAGGTTTTATTAAACAAATAGGAGGTATTGAATAATATTAATGAGTCAGCCAGCTGAGTCCTTTGTGTCTGCTTGTTCTCCCCACAATTTCACGTCTAACCTGCAGACAAAACAAAAAAATGTTCAAATATTCAGACTATTGATGATGTCCCAATCATGTTTTTTCTTTTAACCCTGTCCAAAAAGAAAATGACATTCCCATACCTAAACTGATTCCTTGATTTAGGTTGACTGGGGTACTGTTGTACTTTTAAATAACTGGTTAACATTTTAATGGACAATGTCCTTGCTTAAAATAAGTATGTTCAACTCCTTTAATATTTGGTATCTGGGTCAATGACATGACGCCTACATTTTTTGTCCAACTGATTGTTCTTGGGTAAAAAAAAAGTTTTAACCTTTTAAAATATACCATTTATACGTATTACCTTTCATATTTATAAAATAAGAAATAAAAGCTTTAATCAGTCATTATATTTCAGTTATTTACACAGTCAAATTGTCATGCGTGAGACCATCCAGCCTTGACTGCTGTTTGTAAGATATCTTTCAAATTGCCCTAAATCTGTCAAAATTTATTTTTGCCTAATTTGGCATAATTTCTAAAGTGTCCTTAATAATCCTTTAATAAATTCAAACGCATTTGTTTTAATATTTTATTCATAATATTTTAACATACTTTGTCCGATGATGTCCATTTTATGAAATATCATGTGGTGCAACCATCAAGAAATTATCATTTTGGGACTTTTATTTTGAAATGCATTGAAGGACAGGAAGTAGCATCATACATCCAACTGCCAAGGATCAATGCTAACAGCTAGCAGGTTTGTAGCTCTTTCTCAATTTTGTAGAAATATTACTTTTTTGTAGCCTAGAATGTAGTTGCCACATTTGAATATCATGTGGTATGACCTCAAGTAAAC